TTTCTATTTTAAATGTAATTCACACATGAAATATTAAGTTTCACTTAGTGATAAAAGTTGAAGTGTATATAAAATCTTAAATTTAAATCTTGTTATTGTTATTTAATTTTTATAAATAAAAAAAATAATTTACACATAAATTTACAATAATTTTAAAATTTATTTTTATCAAACACCTTAAACCTTAAATTTAAATTTATAAAATTTAGACTAAATTACATATTTATATTGTTTAGAGACCTATAAGAAAATCTAGAAAATTCCCTAAACAATATGAATGTATTAATCGATATAAACTTACATAAAATATGTAAAAAACAATATTGTTTAATTAATGAAATGAGAATATAAATTTAAAACGCAAGATATAGGTATGTAATAAATGTGACCTTTAGCAGCTAATTCTATCTTATATTCTTTGTTCAAACCTAGCTTAAAAAAAAAAAAAAAAAAAAAAAAAAAAAAAACATTGTGTTGACACATCACTAAATACTAGATTTAGCATGGAAATGTTTTCTTCTTTGGGGGCGGCTGCGTTCGACTTGTTCGGTTGTGATTCATGCCACTGTCTGTTTGGAAACGTCTCCTCCGCATTTAAATATCATAACTATTACATAAATACTGTAAGAGATTCTTGGTTTGAATAAAACTTAATTAATTTTTTAAAATTATTTTATTGATATAAAATATCTATCAAATTAATTTTTGGTGAAAATTCAATTTAATTTATTTAATTATGTTATTGATACAAAATTTGAACTTGAATACGAGACCTTAAAAGGAATCACGCTCAGTACTACTTAGACTAACGACTTGTTAGTAATATATATATATAAGTGATTAATTAAAATTTTCAATATTTAAATCCACCTCGAATTAGATGAATTTAGTAAGACATGCTAGATTTTACTTTGTTTTAACGAGACTCTCTAATCTTTAGAACTTAAGAAATTATTACAAGAAAATTGTCATATAGTGACATATATCTTATAATAATATTATATATGTCACTAAAAATTATTTTTATTCACATAATAAATATAATATATATTGATATATTATTAAAAAAGTGTAGGTATAAACTATAATGACGCATAAAATATGTTGTTAATTATCATTTAAAATCAACACTAAAATTGTATATAACTATATGTCAAATAAGTATATACTTATACATATTGTACCTATAATGACACTTTTTATATCACTATATATAATATTTCTTGTAATAAATTGATATTTCAGAAATTCCATAACAAAACAGGTATAAATATAACTCTAATCCCTTATTATAGCCTAAATCTGAAAGGAATTAAACTATTTGCTAGACAAGTCTATTATGATAAAAAGCCATCATATTTAATTTATAGTTTAATTTCTATATATTATTCGTGTTAGCCAATCAAAAGTAATTATATATGCATATATGAGTTTTAGAGTAATTATTACACAAATCAATTAATAATTTTATCTTAAATAGCAATTTGTGATTGTATTTTTATACTATATCGTTATATTTAAATAAAATCCTTTAGTTTGTCTGATTTATTCAACGTATATTACTATATTAATCAATACCACACACAACATAAACATATACATATAATCACTTAGATGGGAAATTATATATATCTACTTGTGGAGGTTAAATTAATTTGTGAAAAGTCTTAATAAAGTGTATCTAGCTATCACAAGACTCTAGCTGTATGTTGTCCCACTCTACATTTTGGGGTCACATCTAGGCATGATCCACCAATCCTTTCACCTTTTATAAACACACCACCCTACTCAATCTCTTTAATTTCCATGCGCATTCAACGAAACACAACAACCACCCCTTTTCATTTTCATTTTCACCTCCTCTAATTCCAAATTGCATGGAAACACAACCTTATTCCATTGTTTGTACCTGAGATATCATAGATCCGGATGGCTTCAAACTCACACAACAATAACAAGGAAAACTCAAATTCCTCTTGGACACGCATGCAGAACAAGCAATTCGAAAGAGCACTTGCCTTGTATGATCGAGACACCCCAGATCGATGGCAAAACATAGCCAAAGTGGTTGGTGATAAATCAGCTGAGGAAGTTAAGAGACACTATGAAATCCTTTTGGAGGACCTTAGCCATATTGAGTCTGGACGTGTTCCAATTCCCACTTATAAATCCAATCAAGAGAGGTAAACAACACTCCTTTCTTTGGTTCAATTTCTACCTATTTCCTTTTTTTCTCACTCATGCATGCAGTGCTTACTTATTTATATTTTATATGGATTCTTAACTCCCTTTTCATTGATTTGTTTATACTTGTTAATTTGAGTGTCACAAGTTCATGTGATTTGTTTTTACGGAAGGATGTATGGCTATTGAGAATTTAGATAGCCTTGTTCAACAAGGTTAGATAGATTCGATCGAGGAGAAAAACTCAAGTTCTAGTATAATTTGTTAGAAAATAAAATTATGAGAGGCTTCGTGTACTTAAATTTAAATGTTGCAACATAAAAAACCTGAGCATCTCATATATACCAGATATAAAATTCTCATGGCTAATGTCAATTACAGATTACTGTGTATGAATTTTTCATGAAGATTTATAATTTTTATCTCATATTTCTGAAGTCATGGTTTACATGCATACGCTAAAATCCCTCATAAAATGCGGTTTCTTTTTTATTTTTCTTAAATTATTATTATTATTATATATATATATATATACATACATAATATATATATATACATATATATATATTCAATATTAAATTATCAACCAATGAACAGAAAAAAGAAAAAAGAAAAGAAAAAAAAGACATCTGTGAAAAAGATTATATTCAAATAAATAAATAAAAAGTGAGTGACCACGTGTCGTGCTTAAATTTTACTTCAACATATGATCAGTCAAATGAGGATTTTGTGATACATCATCAAGCAGACAAATGAAGAAGTTTCAAACTTTGAGGTGAGAGTAAGCTAAAATAATATAGGGAAAACTATTAAAAAAACATTTAAAAAAAAAAAAAAGACACTACATCTACTTTTATACTATAAATTAGAATATATCTAATGTGAAAAGTGAAACTTTCTCTTTCTCAATCAGAGGACTTCAACACTACTTCTCCTTGAGATGTTTATTTTACATACTATTCCTACAAAAAAAAAATCTAATCATTTTAAATTATCTCTATTTGTGCACTTAATATTTTAATTGACTATCCATTTCAATTCAAAAATAATTTTATATCAAGATCTAATTTCTTATGAATTCAAAATATAATTTAAAAAGGTTAAAAATATTTATTATGTATAATGTATAAATTAAAATACTAGTTTATGCTTAAGCAAAAATGAATCAAAATTTTCAGCCCATTATTTAAAATATTTTTAACTATATTTTAAAGCAAATTTGTATTTTATTATATTTAAAATTAACTTTCCAATATTAAACAAATGGATATATTATAAACATTTTTTTTATGTTAGTTATATATTAATATATATAATTTAACACATTTACACCTTATTTGATACATATGAAATAGCAAAGAAATAGGCTAGGGAGCGAGGAAATAGCGAAGAAAAAAAATCACACTTGTTTAATATCAAAGAGATTTGTCAACCAAAAAATAAAAAAAGATGTGAGAATTTATTTCTTTGCAAAACAGCACAAAAATAAACACTGCATACCATAATCCTAAACGTATTTAAATAAAAGATACTCGTATTTGAATAACACTTTCATTAATCACGCAAAAATATTTATTCCAATAAATAAACTCTTATTAGAATACATTTTCTTTCAAAATTCTGAAGATTTTTTTTAATTTATTTGCATAAATAAATTTTTTTTATTCAAATACATTTCCTTTCAAAAACGAAATTTTATTTATTTATTCAAATAAATAAATTTTTATTAGAATACATTTTCTTTCATTCGAATAAATAAATTTATTTCATTGGAATAGGATTTTTATTTATTCGAATGAAACTTTAGAATTTTATTTATTTATTTTAAATGTTTATTTTATTTTATTTTATTTTTAACCTAAAAATATTATTTTGAAATTATTTATTTACTTTTAATTATTTATTTATTTTATTTCAAAAATATTTTTATTCTATTATTTATTTCTTTTTTCTTTTTTCATATGTATTTTATTTTTGACATATTTCTTTTTAACTTACTAAACATATATCATATTATTTTTCATCTATTTCTCTTCAATTAAATAACCAAATTTTTACTATATTTCTCACATATTTTCACTCAATTGTTTCTCTCTCCTTTATTTCTCACATATTTTTTTCCTCTCTACCAAACACTGTTAAAGCTCAAAGGGATAATTTGTCCACTCCTAATGAGAGCCCACTGGTATGTTTGGCTGTGGCAGGTTTGTTACTTTGTTGGATCTATCATCTATGGCCTCACCTATTTTGACTAGCCAGATGATTTAATTCGTTAAATTCAACTTGCTTTATCATTCTAAATAGGAATATGTGCATAAATTATTATAAATTTTTAGTAATGAATTTGATTCTTATAAATAAGTAAGAAATGTAAAAATCTTTTATATCATCGATGTATTCTGATTAAATTTTTAAACATTAATAAAAACGTATAAACTATATTAGAAAAAGTCAAATGCACCGGTTCTCTTTTTAATGAACAAAGGATAATGCATTATCATGTTTGTTATAGCTTTGTCCATTAACAAAATGCTGCTTGATTTGCAGGCCCCTCAAATATCTTAATCAGCAATGAATTTACCAAGTCAACTCAAGTTTCTTTAGCCACTTACGTTCGGAACAACACATGAATGCAAGATTAAACACTATTCTACTTTCCTTGTTTAGCTAATCTCAATTATGTCCACCAAACTTTTACCAATTTACTTCTATTTTTTCAGTTCAGATTCTAAGTGAACAATATAACCTGTTTGATAGTGTTTCATTGTCTATTTCAAAATCCTTCTTTATAAATTCAATTTTAATACCAGATTTTTTTATTTTTTTTGGTAAAGTAAGTGAAGTACCAGTTCTTGCAAACAAAAGAAATTATATATTTGACAAATTGGGAATCTCCCCTCTCTTTTGTCTCACATATGAAGTTATAAAGGAACATGAAAGTCAAAGGGTGAGAAAAGAGGACACAAATGACAACTATGTACAGTGTGTTTGGATTGGAGTTGCACTCCGTTAAACAGAAATTACTTCCCTTGCTTCTATTCTTTTCCTTGGAAAGAGAAATGTTGTTTGTGTTGTTTCAAACGCATTTTCAAATATACACGTAAAGATGTTCCAAAAAGTTGTTTGGTTGCTATAACCCTATGTTAATGGGAGCAAGCTTTTGAAATCTTTTAACTAGTGGTAGCTGTTACATATTAATTAATTCAAATTGATATATCTTGTTTTTGACGAACAAGTTGTCAAGATTGTTCATCTATATTAATGTTGAAATGTTGTCAATATTTTAAATCATAAGAAAAATTAAAAAAAATATTTACAGGTCAATTTTTGTTTACATACATGATCCACAATAAAATATCAAAACATTGTTTAATTCAGTTAATCAACCCCATCCAATAAGAAAATGCTTAGTTGATATTTAAAGGAAATATGTGTTGTTGATGAACCTATTATGTGTCCAATTTCATCCCTAATGTATTTTTGATGCACATATTTTAGTGTCCAGTTTTTTTATATTTACTTCATAAACCACTATTTTTACTTTTTTTCTTGCTCTATTAACCACTTATTCTCATAACCTCTACTTTGTAAATATGTGTTCGTTTTCTTACTCTACAAATCACTCACTCTAATTAATCTTCTACTTTTTTCTATTATTTTTATTTTAACAAAATTAGAGAGATATAAAGTGCCTCTTACTTCATACTGATTATAATTTTAAAAGTACCATAGAGCATAGAGTTTGAACTTTCGTCTACCGAAAAACAGAAGAGACCGTTTTAGTAGTCATTTAAATGATCAATGTACAAATGAAAGTTGTGACTGGTTTGATTAAGAAAAGCCAAATAACTGATCATTGTTCTTGATACCCCAAAATAATCTGATTGCGAAAAAGGAGAATTTGAACAAACAATCTGCTGTGTGCTACCAAACTTGTGGAGACTGAAACTTCCCGAAATAGAGTACTTTTACTGTTCGAAGTACGTAGACTGTGATTGCAATTATCAAACCTACATGATCTTATGATAAATGATACCAATTATAGTTCACAATCTATTCGGATAGATTTTTCAATAAACACTTGAATCAAAGAAGTAAACTTATTTCAAAAATTAAAACTAACTTGTACTTTAAGAAAAAACAAAAAAAAACCTAACTTTAGCTTACCCTAAAACGTATTTTCTTTTTCCTCGTATAAATATTTATAGAAAAAACTATCCCAAACTGGTTCATAGACACATGCTTAAGAATTTAACAGTGTTGATGTGCAAAATTTCACCTACAAAGAGGAGTTTTGACCAAACAAAAAATGTTGGATGATTAGGGTGTGTACATCAAATCAAACAGCATGTTTGATTTAATTTACTTATAAATAAAATACTAAAGAAAAAGCATTGAACCGTGTATGAAACCAAAAAAAAAAAACCTCAATATTTCCTGTATATATTTTTCAAAACAAAATATAGTAAAAATGTGACAATTTTGTAATTAAAAACTGAAAACAATAAATGAAAATGCGACCTAAATTCGACAATATTAGTATTAATCATTAAGAAATGAAAAGCCGTGAGATAAAGAAATTTTGAAGCAAGAGGCAAAAGGCTTAACATAGGGCAAAAAGAAAAGCCTCATATGTCAAAAGATTTATGGATCCGGAATACAAGTAGTAACTCTGATAAGCAACCTAGTAAAATTTGTACAAGTCAACACCTCCCTTTACAACATGAAAACTAGCTCATAAATATTATATCCCTGCCGCATGAGAATCAGGCAAGGCCATTGCCAAGTTTGAGCCTTAGCCTGATTCTTTCTAGGTATTATATCCTCATACTAACAAATGTACAATTTCAAGTACAACTAAATTTATTACTTCACTACCTGATTACAGACAGGGCCATTAGATAATGATATCAAAAGAAAAAAAGAGCAGGTGCTTGTATTATCCTCAGTTAGCTGTACATCTTCTATACCATCTGTGCAGGATTCAGAGTCAGAACACTAATCCTCCTCTCTGCATACCACACAAGATACAATATTTTTAGTTAAATACACATAATCAAAAAAGATCTTAACATATATTAAAGCTACATGCAAGCTGACAAACAATGTCCACATCATGTCATGATGAACTCTGTGAAGTGAAATCAGACTTATGACTCATCCAACAAAAACAAAAATTTAGATACAAGTACACCTGAGACTCGGTCTATTTTGGACATCCTTTAGCAAGTGAAAACCATTCATCTTTCATGGGATAATGAGAACGATTCATCAATTGCAAAACATTACCAGACATCATAGATCACCCTACTTCATGATGCTACTAGATTGAGTAAAAAGTTGATACAAGAAAATTATCAAATCTCATGGTTGAATGGAAAGGAAACTTTTTCTTAAAACAAACAACACGCATGCAAGTTGTAAATAATGTCAAGTGAGTCCATACACAAATTTCAAGGAAACTTTACTGTTAAATTGAAATAAAGAATAGTTTAAGAGGGACAAGAAAATAAGTAAATATGAACATCATGAATCCGCAAAAGAAGCTACGGTGACTACAATGACGCAATTGTAAAAATGGACTTGTAAATTTATGTGCCAAAATAAAAAGTAAATTTATGAGATTGAACATACCCCCAGCAGCAACCAATTTCTCTACACGGGCAACAATGTGCTTCCCATATGTATACTTCTTCAAGGCGTTCAGATGAACCTTTATTCTATTAAGGATTAGCTCAAGTTGCTGGTCATCACAGGTTTCCAGCACTTTCTGTACAACATAGTTTGCAAACTGATCCTTCATCATAACCTAAAACCATAAAAAAGCACAGGCAAAATAAGAGAAAAGCAGAAATAATTATTAAAAAACAAAAAGATCAATTAACATTAGAACAAAAATGACAGTACCAAACTTAATCAGATAAGCTTTTTGGAAATAAGAGCTACCACTTTTTTTTTTTACAATAATAAAGTTACAAAGTTATATAATCACAAAACAGAAGAAACTGTCATATTGTAAGTTATATAACCAATTGAAGATTATACCTAGGCTTTTTCATTCATCAACTATTATGTTAAACAGTATAAGACTAATTGTGAGCAAACAAACTGATATATACACACACACACTAGTGCTCAAAGCAAAACCATAAATAGACAAAGAAAAAAAATGTAAGTGGGCCCTGCAAGCCACTAGATTCCGGATTTTCTTTTAAACCATCACAGTTTAATATAACATATCGAATATATATAATTATATTAGCATTACATTTTTATATATCCATGGCTAAGAGAAGCATAATGCAACAAACAAGAGATTTGTTCATCAATGGGGATCATAGTTCATGAACAAACCTGTAGGGGTTCATTTTCATAAGTGGAGCCAAGCATCTCATTCACAAGGATTTGACGCTCTGTAGGTGTTCCAAAAGTTAAGCACTTTTCTATAACATTAGAGGCAAACTTCTGCTGGCTCATCTGCACTATTTGCCCACTTAATTCCTTGATTATAGCTGAACGTTCATATGGCTTGCCATGCTCCAGCACATGCTGCAATTTTTAAACAACAATCAAAGACTTGAAGAAAAATTTGGTAAAATCTAAACAGGTAAAAAAAATCATCCAACAAAAATTCATAGCAGGAATCTGTTAGTAATTAGAGAGTAAGTTTGTTAGTTAATTGTGGGAATATGTTAGCTTGTCGGGCTGAGATAGAAGAAAATTAAAGCAGAATGCCTGTAAATAAGAGAAGTTGAAAGAGAGGAATATTGCGTCATTTGTGAGAAAATTGGGGCCTTTGGACATTGGGAGATGCAGATCCTAGAAGTTCGGCAAATGAGGCACTGTATTTAAGGGAGAAATCCTTTATTGTTTCTAATAAGATACTATGCTTCTATAAACAGGTTTTAGAACTCTGCTTCTGTGGGGTTGTGTAAATGATTTCAAAATTTGATGGAAGGATAACTTCAAGATTTGGTGGGACGAGCGACAAGTTGGTGGCTGATAAATTTAGATGATTGTTTAGAAGGCCTTAAAGTGCTTGAGGTGGAGAAGCTATCATGGGTTTTGATGGAATTGAGAGGAGATTCTCAGTGGTTTTGTTGGAAGAAGAGCAACCAAGATGACACATTTTTCTCCTTTGAGAAGGCTGTACTCAAGCTTTTCCAACCAGAGCTTGGGGTTTATCTTCAAGATTCAGAACATGGAGAGCAAGAAAGTAAATAGAGATGAAGTTCAAGAGGAGAGCCAAGAACCAATGGTGCACAGAGCAGAAGCTGGTGATGAAAGGCAGCAAGAAAACATAACAAGAGATGAAGCATATAAGAGAACAGTTCCAGCAGCTCAAGGGCAAGTATGAATACAATAAAGCTAAAAAATTGGGAGAAACCCAACAAAAGCAAACCACAACATTTTTGGACAAAGAATCGGAAAATAGAAGAAAAAATTAAGTTCTTGAGATCAAGAATCATAGTAGAAGATATTTTTGGGTTGCAAAGAAGGCAAAAATTGAGGTAAGCCCTATGTCTAAAACAAGGAGAGAGCCAACAACTAAACTGATGGTAACATTGGTTTTGGGTATGGATAGTACTGTCAACCCACCACAAAAGCACAATAAGGTGGAGGATCTTAATAATCCTTAACCACAAACACATGCAGTAGTTCAGCTTGCAGCAAAGCCATTGGATCTCCTCAGTGAAATTACAGAGGCTACTATGATGCTCTATTTCATAGCAAAATATACTGCAGAAAACAGAGCATCGGAGTAGTTCAGCAGCTGCAAGCCATTGACATTCAAAGGAAAAGGTGAAACATTAGGGAGGCAGTATTGTTAGATGGCTGTTAGTTGTCAATCTGTAAATAATTAGAGACTTTTGTTAGTTATAGTTAATTGTTGAAATCTGTTTGGCTGAGATTGGAAAGAACCAAGGAAGATTGCCAAATAAGAGGAGAGGTGGAAAAATAGAAGTGTCTTGTCATTTCTTAGAAAATTGTTTGGGAATTGGGAGTACAGACACTCAGTTCTGCAAATTAGGCACTGTATTAAAGGGAGAAATCCCTTATTCTTTATAATTATAAGATACGAAACCATGTTTCTATCAGAAACAAATAACTCCAGAAAAGCATACAAATATCGAAATAACCAAAACTAAAGGCTAAAAAGTAAGAACATAGGAAGTGATGGCAGTTAAAATAAAATCAACACGCAGGTGCATTTTCCATCCATTTAATACAATATTACAACACAATAACAGTCTTTAACACTAGGTGGAGTCATGTATCTCTATGAATCAAATGACAATAATTTTCTGATCATAAATCATGTCAATGGACAAATTATTGATCTTTAAATCTTTTTCCAATGTTTTGCCTATAGTTTATATAATATTAAGCTGTCACAATCACAAAAACACCAAATTAGAGTCACCATACTTCCAGCATTTTATAATCAACCCTCCTTGACTCTAGTATGGACAAAGTGTTGGTACCATTTAGAGCATGTTTGTTTTATTGTTTGAACACCATTCAGTGAGATTTTTCCACTTTCCAAGACAGAAACGTGAAAGCAAGGGGGAGGTTGGATTGATGTTCAGTTGGATGGAACATAAAAAAAAACGAACACTCAGATTTTACCAAAAGAGATTTCATAATTGATTCAATGTTATGTTATACTCGACCAATTTTTAATACCAAATTACCAATTGGCCAAAAGTGTTCACATTAATACTAAGGCACAAGAACATGTACTGCTGCAAACATGTAGAAAATAAGATCACAAGTTGTAACCAGTGGGATAATAGCAAAAAACTGAAATGAAATGCAACAAACCTGCACAACATAATTCCCATATTGGTCTTGTGCCAACTTACAGACAGACTGCAAAATCTCATCCATCATAATTTGCTGTGTTTTGGGATCATGGCAGTACTCCAAGACTCTCTGCTCATTGAAACATGAATAGTTTAGAACTATAATGTTAATCTTTCAAGCTATCGATCCAGCTACTATGTTTTTTAACACAAATGCATAAGATGCAGCTGTTACCTGTATAACCCGGCAACCATAAGGATGAGTTGACAATGTCACAACCTGGTCATAAAACGTTGAAACAATAAATTGGATTGCATCTTCGGGTACACATTCAATACATTTCTGGATGACATGGTTTCCATTTTGATCCCGAACACAACGCATAATATGACCATCCAACTCTGTAACCATTTTAGTCTGCTGATCCATATCAACAACTTCAATAGCCTACACAATTTAGAAGAGAAAGACAAAATGAATAACTGTCAACCTTACCATCAACCAAGACAAATCAAAGCAGCATTCTACATTCAAAGCATAATAATAAGTCAAAATAGCAGTTTCACACACAAAATAAACCACATTGCATAGAAGAAAAATCCATTATATTTGTCACACTAAAAACTACAGAAAGTGATGTGTCAACAAAACTACTGGACAACATCGCTTTTCTAACATTAAGAAAATGAGGAAAAAAAAATTAAAAGACTTGAGTTGCTCACGAACACCCATCCGGGCCATCCCCCACCCATCAAGTAAAATCTGAAATGTTTTAAAAAAAAATAACTGTCACAATATCCCAAATAAGATAAAAGTGTGGCTCATTGTGATTATTTCAAAAGGGTGCCTTGACAACCCTTCTCAACATGATATCTCAAATTCACAAAATAGCCAGTTTAAAGGCAAGTCTAGTAACAGTTTGTGTGATACCGGGGTGAATTTTTCCTGGCCTTTCCACGTAGTATATAACATTGAAAAGCATTAAGCTCCAAAACAAATTTTGACATATAAAAAGTAGTAGTCAATCCAGAAAAGGAATAGTAGCCAAGCCCAAAATTGAAGCAAATCATGGAGTGACAGCTATACTGAAGCTATCAAACTCAAATACAATATAAATAATTTGAAACATAAATGTCCAAAACTCAAAAAGTGCTAAAAATTTACATGTTCATCCTTAATATTCAATATTAATAATCCTAAAGGTTTTAAAGTTTTGTACCACAAACTAATAACAATAAAGGATGTATAAATACATTAAAAAAAATCATTTCAAATCAGTCAACATGTTATGAACAATTTAAGGCACCAAGTCGAGAGAAAGCACAACCAAACAAATCATGAATAAAAGAAAAGGGAGGGAGTTAATAATATTACTAAAGTGGGACCGATTAGAACTATTTAATGCTGACTATTACAGGCACCTTAACCAGTGCCCATAGAGTACTAGTTAGTAAAACCTTAGATCATGGTGTGATCTCTAAAATAGGGTAAAGGCTTCTTCAAGAAGCCACAGCTGATATACAGCCAAACACCCATGGCAGGTCTTGGTTGGGAAACCAGCAGCGTTGATTGGAAAATCCCAAGGCAGGAGCAAACCAAGGGACGGAAGTTTTGCCCCTGTTCACTGTGGTGTCATCATGGTGGCTGTTGCAGCCACTCTTTGACTGCAATCACAGCCAGTATCATCTTGATGGCAAAAAGTGACACTCCACCTAACCTGATGAGGCCAGGGACTGAAATAGCATGATTGACTATGTAACAAATTACAAACCATCACAAAGAACTGCAGAATTTGTAGAACATAAAAGCAAACAATGCATATTATTATAGAAACAGTCATAAGGTAGATAAATTGATAAGCAGACCTTCTGGATAACTCGGCAGCCATACATTTGAAGACTTAGGGTCAGCACATGATCAGTAAGCTGATCAGCCAGTTCTCTTATTTGTGCTGCTGTTCCGTGTTCAAAAAACTAAACATGAATTACAATATGTTAGGCTTGTATAGGACAAGTTCCAAGGTTTTTTGCATTGTATAATGAATTTGATGCGCACTTAAACATGATAATCACAAAATAAAATATATAAAAAATACACTATACAAAGTCAAAAATGAAAATACATTGAGTTCCAATTTGTAGCATAAAACAAAGAAAAAATCAAAAGTACCTTCTGAATTACATAATTACCAAAGACATCAGTCATTAGAGAAAGTGCTTGCGGCATGATTTCATGGAAAACCATGTTTTTCTCTTCCATCGAGGCCGTCTCAAGTTTCTGTTGGATAAAACGGCTTCCATACTGGTCAGCACTGTTTAAGAAAGAATATAAAAACAAGTTAGCTAAATATTAAAAGTCAAGACGCAAAACATAGTATGATACTATGATCACCGGTATGCACCTGAACTCCACAACATGCCCAGCAATTTCGGAAAGTTCAAAACATTTGGTCTTGTTACTTTTGAATTCATCGAGCAAGGAAGATGCAAAATTCTCATCTAAGCTACCCACGGTGTCTGAAGGCCAAGCTCCCACGAAACCACCAGCCATGTTCCTCATCCCAGACAAACGCATATTGCGTTCACTTTGGTTCATGGGACTACCCGACCCATAGAGGGAGTTTGGGAAAACGGAACCAGCCAGTGGGCTTCCTGGATATGACGTGGCCATACCAAATGATGGATTTCCATAAGAATTAGGGCTCAAAGTAGGTGATTTAGCAAGGTATGGAACATTGAAGTGCGATTTTTGGGGGGCAATTAAAGACTCGACATAAGCTTTTTGGAGACTAAGTAAATCTGTGCATTCCCTATTTATTGCTGATTCATTAAGGGCAGCAATCTGTGCAGCAGAAGCAACATCCCCCGATCTTAGATACTGAAGATACAAAGGGTCCATCAGGGGCAACTGTTGAGTGCTACCTGCAGCATGACTTCCCAGCCTGTTTGAATTTTGTAACTCTGACGCAGCCAACAAAGGTCCTAAATTTGCACCTCTTCCCAGGGCTCTGGAGTCCATAGCATTCAATCCTAGTGCAGATGCAGCAGCAGCATTTTCAAAGAATGGAGGCAAATTACCACTTCCAAGATGGCTTGCCATCATGGATGGTGATGAAGGATTAACAGTATACCCAGTCATACCATAATTAGGATAAGAGATATCATCCACATTCTGATAGCGAGCATGCGGACTACCTCTGCTAGTAAAAGTTGGTGTAGATGGTCCTTTTAAATGTGAATTAACAGAAATTCCACCAGCTTTGTGAAGTTCTAGCTGTTCATTTGTATACCCTGCTGATTGATTCAGATCCAATCCAAAACCACTGCTTTTATTCACTTGCAAATGGGGTTGGCTAGCTGAATGACGCTGAAAAGGGACGGAATCAGGATTGTTTAAGTAAGGGTGCTGTTTAAAACTGAGAGTATAATCTGATTCATTGTGCCTAGATGACTGGGAATGTTTCTCATCATCTATTATATCATTGGTGGACAAATTCATACCAGCCAAAGCAGATGCCAGATCTCCATGATCATTTAAATTAGATGAGACAGCATTGAGTGAGTTTTGACCATTAGAACTCTTTTTATCAGTACTGGACCTGCCATCACCAATGGGTGGAAGGCAAGGACTAGCAGCTCTAGGTAGAAGTTGAGAGTCAGGGGTGCTACTCCTTGATAGGGAGGCTCCTAAGGCAGAAGCATAAGTTTGAGGCCCTGAACCAACAAAATTTTGGGCCGAAGATATGCCCTGCTTATTTCCACCAGACCTCAAGGCATCCAACTCTTGATGCGCATAAGCAAAACGGTTTTCTGATTTTTCAACAATATCATCAAATAAATTACTACTAGGCAGATTTTGAGGGTGCTTGGAGGCAGATGATGCATTATTTATTTCATCCTGCTTTGAAAATATAACAAACAAAGCATCAGAAACAATTCAACTAGATAAAATGATACAAGTAGCCATGATCACCACAAATGTAATAACATCATTCCATTGCAAAACTAATTGGTAAAGAAAATATTTTAAATTTCAAGCCCGTAAAGTTGCATCTCCATACTAAATATGCAAATTCTTTGAATTGAGCTCCAATTAGAAAATGAATGCACCATTAAGAAACTCATACGATAAAAACAAACCAAAGATATGCAATAAAGGTAGAGTGACTCAAAAGTCCACTAAAACGCGTGCCTACTCAGCATGGACAAGTCAACAACAGCACCCACCTGAGAGATTCCAATCATAGAAACAGAAATAAAAGGAGCCACAATCCCAAAATTAATAAATTTGCAATCCATAAATCCCATTGCAGCCAAACTATGTCTCAGCTTAATCTGGAAAGAATACTGGCGCAACAGGCAAAACTTCAGAAGAGCAAATTTTTTATTCATAAGAAAATTCTCTAATTTGATAATTCTTTAATGAGCCCATTAAGAAACCCAACTCTCAAAACACACCCTAAAACAAATTCAATTAATGAGTCATTGTACCCTCCGAGATTTACGCCGATCACTTGGACAAAGTTTATTCAAATATCTTGGGCAAACAAACATCCAAATGTCAGTTACCAAACTCAAAATGTAGTTGACAATGTTGGCAGTACTCGAATACTCCAACTGTTAAGGACCAAAATGTAGTTGATAATGTTGGCGGTACTCGAATACTCCAAGAGTTAGGGACCAAAGGACACGACAAAATCACACTAGAGTATTCCCACAATGTGAGTAACCACCCCAGACCAGTGTCACACTTCTCCAACATCCAAAGGCAGAGGCACAACACACTGTTATATGAACTGGCCACAGGGAATCCCTAATGGTTCTTCCATTATGAGAAGAGTGATGCATTGTTTCCATCCAATGAACACAAACTCACACACACATACTTCTCAGCAGATCTTCAGTTAGAGTACCAACCATCAATCACCAAAAGGAGCACAAGTTAAACATCCAACATATATAAACATAAAATAAACAAAACATACAAATCACACACACACACATACACATACACAAAATAAATAAATAAATAAATAAAACTCCAGTTACAATTTACAAACACCAAAACAACTCTCACCTGAAACAGTTCAGCAATACTCCTCTGCCTACTCCCCATGCCCAATGCCGGCAAACCGATCAAGCCGTCCTCGCCACCCCACTCGGGGCCACCCTTCCGGTGCTTCAAACCACCCTCCTCCTTCACACCAAACCCACCAGGGTGCACAGAAAACAAAGAACTATCACCACCTACAATTCCACCATCATCACGCACCATCCCCCTATCCTCAATTCCCCCCACCTTAGAACCACCCCTCAACCGCTGCACGAACCGCCAGTCCTCCTTCGAGGCCAGCGGCGGCGGGAACCGCGGGTTCAGATTCACATTCGCATAGTAATAATTCGCGTAATTCGGATCAGCCCGAAGCTCCTCCTCACTCCCAAAACCCCTTCCACCGCCAAAAACCCCCGCCGCCGCCGAACCCTCAAACAACCCTCCCACCGCCGACAACGACCCCTCCACGGTCGGCGGCGCCGACCCACTTCGCAACCGCGCCAGTTCCCTCTCCCTTAGAACCCCCAAATCTTCACCGCCGTAATCACCACCGTTCTTCAGCATCGATCGAATCACAACATCAGACATCATCTTCGAGTAACTATCACTCACCATTACACACCGCACAAAATAAAAACTTCACTCAACCCACTGACAAAAAAAGAAAAAAAAAACAATATCGCAATGAAACCAACACAGAACAGGTCTAAAACCGCTCTACTGCGAACAGTTTCGAATCAAGAACCCAAAAAAAAAAGAAAACAAATCTTTTTTTCTGAGGGTCCGAGGATTATTCAGTAACGCTAATTCCGATAGACGAAGTGAGAAAAAGCTTCGACTTTATTGGTGGGTTTAGTGATTATTTTGATGGGTCTGAATCAAAATGAAGATCGGAGTTTAGAGTGATGAGAATGAACGCGGAGGATCGACGATGTGTTGGTCCATGTTAGAAGAGAAACAGAAACAGTGGTGAGACTGCGAGCGAGTGTGAGAGGGTGAGAGTGATAAGTACGAGAGTTTGGCCTTTTTGGACTGTTGGATATAACATCGACGGTTCAGATTGAGCGTTGCGAAATTTGTTATTACACTGGGCTTAGGGTTTGGAGTTATGGTTAGGTTTGTATTAACGCATTCGCGTATGTGTTTGGGTGGCCGAATTAAAAAAATATAATAAATTAAATTGAATATTTCTCAATATTCGGTATTAAAGAGTTTGAAACACTTTACTTTGTGCGTTTTGTTATAATTGTTGGGGCGGTGAGTTGTCTAAAGTGGTGTCCTAGGGTGCGCGTAGGAGATTGACGTTGTTTGTTTTGGTGTTATTTAGGATGGAAGAGGTATGGAAAACTTTAAAAATAAAAAAATATGCATGGCTTAAAAGGTTTTTTTCATCTTTTGGAATGAATTGCTTGCAGCATGATCTTGCGTAAAATTCAATTTGGTCTCTGATTCTTTTTATTGGGAGATGTTGTGAGTTTCAAATAAATCATGGTAAATTATATTTTACATAATCAATTTAATTGCACATCATATAAACATTGAAGTAACGCATGTTACACCGAACACCGCGTGAAAATGTTTCTACGTGTTAAACTCTCGTTACGTGAATATTTGGTATTTTTTAAAATTATATTTTTTATTTTTTAAATATGATAATTTTATTTTTAGTGATTTATTTTTTAATCTCTTACAATCTATTAAAAAAGTATCATATGTAATTGTTGTTCTTTCAAAGATGTCTTGTATATGACACATCTCTGTAAATGAAAACAAAGAGTTAATGTAATTTTTAGAAGTTAAAAATTTAAATTTTACCTTATTTACGACACATTTATAGTAAGTATTATCTTATAAAAAAAATTAAAATTATATTTAATTCTTAAATCATATCTTTAAGAATTTAAGAAAATCTTTAAATCATATTCTTAATAATTCAAATAAATCTTCATGAATTATATTTACATGATTTAATTGTATAACGGATAAATATTAAAGTGAAATATGTAAATTTTTCCTCATGTTTATATTTAATACTCATTTTAAATTGTGTTACATTGGATGATAAAAATTGAAGAAGATATGTCTTCACGTATAAAATATACTTTTCACACACATATATTTAATGCTCATTTTGAATTATATTATTAGAAATTAAATTAAATATTCATTATTTATTTTTAGACTCGTATAACGACTAAGTATAAAAGAAATATTTGCCTCAAGTTGTGAAGTATTTTTCAAGTTATTAGGAGGTTTATATTAATATTTGTGTAACTTTTATTAAGTATTAGATCGTTTAATAATTTTATATTAAATATAAATTTTATAAATTCAATTGTTAGATTAAAAGTTTTTTACTCTTAAATTATTTATGCAAAATTTTATATTAATCCAAAATAATTTGATACTTCATTATTATAAAATAAAATTAATGTAATATATACATTTCAAAATATATTAAAATATGAATACATTAATTACTTTCAAGTTGTTGTTCAATTTTAACAAAATTATATATAAACATATAAAGTTATATGAACTTTTAATCTAACAGTTGAATTTACAAAATTCATATTTAATATAAAACTTATTGAATTGTGTAATACTTAATAAAAATTACACCGATGTTATTATAATTTTCATGTAATTATAATAAATAAGTTAATTACATAACAAATAAACATTGAAGTAATGCATGTATAAATGTGTGAAATCTCTTGATGTTAAAATTATTTTTAGATGAATATTTGATACTCATTTTAAATATAAAAGAAGTTAACTTAATTAGTTGAATGATTGTGCGTGCATAAATGAATGTAAATTTTTATATCTCTTTAGTATCAAATTTGATTCTACAAATAAATAAAATATAATATCTACAAATATGATACTATTACTTTTTAGCCTCTCAAAAAAGTATTTTTATTTTCTATTTATAAAAAGTATCAGATAAGATTATTGTTCTTTACAAACAAACATACATTTATCCTCCTTTGATAATTTATTTATGAAAATACAGATTATACATGACAGATTTTTATGAATAAGGGTTTTAAAAATTAAAAGTATGTATATAAAAAAATAAAAATAAAAAATAAAAGTGAACATTATCTTATTTATAGGAAATAAAATCATATTTAACTCTTAAATTATATTCTTAAGAATTTGAATAATTATTCATGAATTATATTTACATAATTTTATCACATAACAGATAAGCATTGAAGTATCAAAATATGAATCATGTCTTAGTGTGTGAAATTTTTTTCGTATTTTTTTAAAAATAAAGTTTATGTGAATTAGACTATAAATTAAAACTTATTATAATCAAATCAAGCTTTAAGATTAGAGAACTCTTATAGATGCACTTACATGTTACTCACCAACATTTTTTCATGAGTTTTTGATACTACTCACTTTAAATAGTGTTATAAGCTTTGAAGTAGGACATGCCTTAATGTGTGAAATCCATCTCATATATATAAAGGACAAGCATTGAAGCAAGTGAGACATGTCTTAATATCTGAAAATTTTTCTCATGTGCATATTTTTTTTATTTAGAAAAAAGTAAATTTGATTCCAAAAACTTATTATAGTCGAGTTAAACTTCAAGACTAAGAAATTTTGTACAAATGCACTTAATTATATGTTACTCACCGTCAATCACTTTTGTATTTAATATTATTCATTTTAAATAATATTATAAGCAATGAAGTAAAATATGTTTCGATGTGTGAAATCTACTTCATATATATTTGGTACTCATTTTAAATCATATCATATTATTAATAAATGATAAATGTTAGAAATGTATTATCTAACATTATTTTTTTAACACACTCTTT